TAAAAAAAGGAAGGGGGGGGGGGGGAGGGAGTATGGTGTTTAATCCTACATTTGATCTACAAGCTAGTTCCTGGTCAGCTAGTTTAAATCTGTGTTACAGAGATAAATGCTGAACAAGCTACAGATGAGAGAGTGAATGAAGGAGCAGCTGTCATCTCTTCCTATTATCTTACAGCTTTTCAATTACAATTTTAACAACCGTTAAATTCTAATTTAAAACAATCATAGGAAACATCCCAAGGAAGAGCCACAATACTTGACAGCAACACATCATGAATGTTTATGAGCCTATGTTTCTGTATCACCATGCCTATAAGTACTACACAACATTTGTGGCAGGTTTATTGTGCTTAATTATTAATCTATAGAAGTGAATGTGGGCAAATGGGAAATATGAAATAGGAACTTCTATTGCAATCTTAAGTGGTGAAGAAATTGTTCGAATATCTTTCCACAAGGCAGTCCAATTTTTCTGCTATTTTTTCTGTGATTTTTCTATGTTGTGGGGTGTTTTTTTTAAAGCTGTGATTCTGATAAATTCATCTTCATTTCTGAGGACTGAATAAAGGTAGCCAGAATTCAGGGTTTAAGGAAGCCTTATATCTACTGAACTCACTTGTCACAAGGCAGCTGAGATGACCAATGATGACAGTGATGGTAGTAAATTGTCCCACAGCAAAAGGAAGGATGGAGGATAGGATAAGACAGATGGAAAGCTGGCTCATTTGAAAGTTGATCAAGATTAGCTATTGCGAAAACAAAAAGCAAACCCAGAAACAACCCACTCAGCAAAATCCAGCTTGAAACTGGCTGAGTTGTAGCATATTAAACTGTGGGCAGGTGGCATCCCGTATGAGCTGGGAGCCTGTATCCTGCTGAGAGCTGTGCTCTTCTGCCTCCCAGCAAACTGCTTGGAAAGGCACACGGCGTCTCCGAGAAGTGTGAAAAGGCTCGACCCAAAAGCTCTGGATTGTGTTTTTACCCTACATTCCCTTTTAAAAACAAGTATCTTACAATTTGGTAAAATGCTTCTCTAGGCAGAGACCGAAGGAAAGCTGACAATGAGGATACAGCAGGTCTGCAGGAGATGCAGTAAGCGTATGGAAGTTGCAGTGTTTGCGCCACAGCCAGCTGTTAATGGGCTTCTCTGTAGCTGCTAGGGTATTTGAAGTCTAAATACAGGAGGAAACAAGATTTATGTGATTGTGCATAACTTTGGCCAAAGGTCTTGAAGGACATTAACTCCCTGAAAGTTTCCTGAAGAGGTACTCCGTGGGTGCCTTTGCTGCTGGGGGGCTAACGTGTTCGCGTGTGCTCTGTGTTTCAGGGATAGAGCTCTGTCCTCCAGGGCACCGGTTCATGATCACCATGGTGGCGAGCTTCATCGAAATGGCGGGGCAGTTCCTCATGCCGGGGCTGGCTGCCCTCTGCAGGGACTGGCAGGTCCTCCAGGCGGTCATCATCTGTCCTTTCCTGCTGATGCTGCTTTACTGGGTGTAAGTATTTCTTCCTCCTGGCGGGTCAAAGACAACATGAGCTCCTGATGTTGGACTTGGGAGGTGCTTCACTGTCGGGAAGTGTGTGTGCTTCACAAGATGTATGAGCCTTTCCCTTTATTCTTCCATTCACATTTTGCAAATATGTGACTTTGAAATAAGAAATAATAACTTTATCATTTGCTCTAGCATTCACATAGGTTACATGCTGCGACTTGGTGGAAACTCAGGAGATGGTCCTCTTTCGCTAAGCAGCAAGTTGTGCTTTGCTATTATTCTGGCTGTCACTTCCCCTTTAAAGATGAAAACAATTCTTGAGAGGATGCGTCTCAGCCTCGCTGTTGTCAGATTGTGGCTGCACAGCTAAATTTTCCCTTAAAACCTGTATTGTGGTTCTGAGCTGTCACTGTTGGTTTCTCTGGCCTGGGTTAGCCAAGCTAGGTTAAAAATAACATGTGTCAGCTCTTGAACAAGCGCACTTGGACGTCTTGTGTGCATGAGGTAGCCAGCCCTGAACTAGACTGCCTGCTCGATTTTGCCCAAATTAGCGCGTGCTGTGTTGAAGCCTGGGTGGCCGGTCTGCGCCGGGCAGTGGGTTGGGATCGTTCCCACAAGGAATCCTTCCCTCCTGGCTGCTCCCACTCCTCTGCCTGCTGCACCGTGGCGTTGGTACGGCTATCCTGAGAGAAGTAGGGCAGCTCTCACCTCGGGGATGGTGCCAGGTCCATCCCCACCAGGACTTTATAAACCTCCCAAAAAGTCTTTCTTTGTTGTTCTGTCTTAATAGTGACACGCAGTGGCGGCATAACACAACGGAGGCTTATGAGAGCAGTGTTGTACAAAACCATAACAGTAAGAACACGCTAGATCGTTCGTTTTAAAGATAACTTTAACAAGACTAAAATATTTAGTTGCTGTACACTGAGAAAAATGAGGAAAAAAGGCCACCGCACTGTGCAGGACCAAGTTGTTTCTGTACCGTGGGGGGCCGAGCTGCTAGTTATAATGCCTGACAAGTTGCAACATGTAAAAACTTGTTACAGTATGTAAGAATTTTTAACACTTATATATTTTTCTATTAATACATGAAGGCCTTACAGAGTTCTGCTCTGTTTGTGGTGGTAGCCCTCAGTGAGGATTTCCTTACTTATACCCAAGGTAGACATGCCATGGCTTGGGCTGAGGGCAAAATGAAGCACACAGTAGAAAGTTACAAGTCCTTTCAAGATAATGGCTTTTTTTTTCCCCTGTTTTCCAACTTATAACATCTAAATAGTCTTATCTTGTCAGTGTCAATCTTGATGATGACTAACCAAGAGTGTTCTTATTAATGTGCGATACTATTCTCCCAAACCTGCCATACATTATACACATGCAAACACATGCAGGTCTATTCCAACACCTCCTGTTGAGATGCCCACCAGCTGAAATGCCTTACATCCACCACTGGATAGAACCCAATATCAAATATAATGTTTATAGATATTTGTGTCCAGAAGGACAGTACAATAGTATGAAGGCTCCTAACGAACACAGCAGACGACATGGACAGCAGTAACCCCTCAGCAGTCTTCTGGAGGTAGCACATCTTCCAGGTGGCTGAGTTAGGGTCTCGTACATGCCTGTTGAGAGGTCGTCCCTGGGTGATATCGAAAGCAATAGGAAATGCTAACATTTATTTCCTAATCTGCAAGCGCTTTGTGACTTTTTGGCTGGATGGGACAGGCAGACCACACAAATAGATCCCCCTTATATAATGTGTGATATGACAGCTTGATAAATAGTGGTAATAGCCAAAGTAACAGGATTTGCATTGCCCAGGATTTTTGCATTTGCAGAAATGGACTCTGGTTAGGATGCCTGTTTAATTATACTGTCAGTACAGTATGCACTTTTCTCTTAGGCTTTTCTCTTCCATCTGTTGCATATTCTCTGGAAAGTGCTACCGTTTTATTACCTCTTTCCTTTTCTCCCCTCTTCCCCCAGCATTATGTTGGGGAACAGAGCATGGACCCTCAGCATATGTTACAGATGAAGGAAGAAAACTAACTGATTTGTAATAAAAGAACTGGAAAACGGCACTGCTCGTTAATTCCCCATCATGTACCCAAAGCAGTGAGTTCAATAACAGATGCTGCGATAACCCCTGCGCTGCCTCCTCCTTCCTCCTTCCTCTCTTTACTTCCATCTCCTGCTGTGAGAGAGCTGTTTACCCCTCCAGACTGGGACGAAACCCTCTCCCACCTATAGATTTGCTCTGCTCCCAGCCATGTGCCCGTGGCAGGCTATACCATCCCCAGGAGGTGGGTGGCTGAGCGGATCGGGAAGCTGGGCATGGATGGGGAGAAAGGGGGAAGCAGCAGATTTGTCTAGGAGGGGTGGGCTGGTGGGCTGGGACACTTGCAGATCAAGCAGATGCCTTTGCTGAGCTCTCAGGTCGTTCGGGAAGGGCGGGGAGGCAGCCATATAAGCCAGATGTGAGCACAGGGGTTGGTGACAAGCGTATAAAAATAAGTTAACAGAAGTTAGGCTCCTTTCAAAGTTTGTGTGTGCTAGAGCCATGAGGGAAGGGGAGCTCCAGTTATACAGAGGCATTGTTTCCTCTCCCTTGGACACAGGGAGCTCCTGAGAGAACCATGCCATGAACATCAGCAAAGGCATCCATAATATGAAATAAACTCCTGCTTCACTCTAACCAAAACTGAAGAACTGGGAAGGGGTGGCCAGTTCTTTTCTGGTGCTGTTAGATAGGATTTACCCTCACCAAGATGCAAAGTTGTAATAACTGGCCTTGTTGCCCTGGAGCAGACCCCAGATTGACACGCTACACAATTTCCATGGGCATGGGTTTGCTCTGCATCTGGACAGGATCACGGTTCTCCTTCCAGCTATGTGTGGTACCTGCCTGGCCTTTTTCTGTCTGTCCAGGATTCTTCTCTGCTCTTAGGATTTCTCAGGCTTAGGATCTTTTTTACCAGTGTCCATCTCCTCTCCCAAGTAGCAGCTGTGTAACAGGAGACAAACATTTCCCTCTACCCACCCACCCCCCGTTCTTTTCTTCGACTGCAAAAGGCTGGTCCTTTCCTCACTGATGGAGGAGGTAGAAGGTTATCGACGAGGTGTCCACAGTCAGCTCGGCACAGTGATCTGGGCGATTGTCCACCCTTGGCAGAAAGCTAAGGTCAATTAGTGTTCAGTGCCAGGTGATAAAGCACAAGGTAGTGACCAAATTTCTGTGCAGAAGTCCACAGGGACCAGGGGGTTGGCTTTTTTGTTGTTGTTGTTTTTTTGGCTTTTGAGTTTGTGATGGTGCGTGGCTTGGCAGCAGGAGGTGCAAGAGTAGGTGCGTACAAATGACCCTTGGAGCAGGGTCCACGCTCCACAGGTGAGCTCAGGCACTTGCACAGAGACGGGGCAGCCAGCTCTTCCCCTTGCTGTGCCTGATAACCTGGGCTCAAAGCAGCCCAGGAGTTTTTAAAGATCCTTAAATGAACCTCCCACTGCTCGCACTGAGTAATGGAGCAGCTGAAAGATGTGAGGCTTCAGCACTTCCAGTTTGAGGAACCTGTAGGAGCTGGAAGGCAGAGACAGCGTTGGTCCCTGCGATGCCTGTCCCTGTGGCTTTCTTCCTTCCCTAGGAACAGGTGCTCCCCATAGGACTTGTCATTTGGGACCTAGAAGCAGACCGTTCAAAAAGTGCAGCTTTTAGACCAGTGGCTGAGGCTGTCCCTTCTCTGGAGCCAAGCATGGGGAGATTTTGCATTCAAAGAATTGTTAATTTTTCAAAACACGCACTTGCAGTACAGGACTTTCTGCAGAAGGATATGCCAAAGCATCCATGCAGCACCAGTGGTAGTAAATAAGCTGTCAAGCTGAATGGCTGTCATCACAGCTGTTATATATTTTTATTACCTGATATCATTTGGATTGCAGTCTGCCTGACTTCTCTCTTTTTTCCTTCTTCTTCAAAAAAAATAATACTTTCTCTATCTAGGATGGAGGTTTCTCTCGGCTGTCTTCCAAATTGCATCAGCCTTAAAAGATAGTACCATAACAGTGCAATTGCCTGGTCCACTGCTTAAAAGTATAAGAACCGAGGCAGCATCCACAGCAAAGATCAGTGCTTTGTGAAGGAAATTTGAGGTTTATTATATATTTGAAGTTAAAAGTAGTTGGTAAATTTGTTTTTAGAAATGTCTTTTGGAAGATTAGTTGAAAATGATGCCTAAACAAGAAAGAAGAATATGCTTGGAGTCAGATCTGAAAGTTTTCATATCTATAGAAGTATGGGAGGTTTTGTTTGTTTGTTTTAAGATTTACATTTTTTTTTTTTAGTTCTATATCAAAATAAACTCATCTGAAAAAAAGGAAGAATGATCACTTAAGCTAGTGACTCAGGTGAATATCAGCACTTGAAGGAAACAACCAGATGGAAAATAAACTTTTTTATTTTGTAACTCTGTGTGCATGTGTATATTTTTAAGGCAACTAACCTAACACAATATTGGTTTTGCTAGGGGAAGCTTTTAGAGCAACAACCGAATGTTGCCTGGAGCATACACAATACTGACCTGTATAAAAGAATGGCTTGAAGTCTGCATATGTGGGAGAAGATTTTTGACATGTTTAAAAAAATCTGTTCCATTAGAATCGTAAAAAGTAATTCTTCTCTTTCCTCTCTCCATCTTTACAAGAGAATCCAAATCACTTCTGTCGGCTATTTTCCTTCTTTGGTCTGAATTATCATGTGCTAACTGCATACCTCATTCATTGCCTGCTTGGCAGCAAATGTCTATTGCAGACAGTGCTGCCTCCTTCTCCCAGTTCTCTCAAAATTGTATTAAAGGGGAGAACACCTCCAACGTTATAAAACTCTAATATGTCCTATTTCTAGGTGATAAGATCGTTCCTATATCATCTGAGAATCAGTGTAAAAGAAAATGTCATTAATTTACACATTCTGAATCTGTTTTCCCTCTTATTTGTTTCATAAGTGATTCTTCTGCTTTTTGAAAACAATTACATAGCTCACGAACGGTTAAGTGAACAGCTAAACACTATCAGTTCTTCCTCTGATAGAAACTTGGAAGCGACCCTAACGTGTTTTCCATCTTTGAAGTATTTTCCCAGAGTCCCTTCGGTGGCTGATGGCTACGCAGCAGTTTGAGGCATCCAAGGAACTGATCCTTCAGTTCACGCACAAGAACAGGGTGAACACGGAAAGTGACATCAAAGGAGTGGTGCCCGGTGAGTAGGACAGACAGACAACCGCAAATCCCTCCATTCAGATGAAGTTGCTTGCGTTTCACTAATGGCTGCCCATGGCATTGCTGCCCAGAATTAAATAATCCATTTACTGCCTGTAAAATCATCCTGTTCATTCATTCATTCATTCATTTTGCTTTTCTTGAAAAACAATTCCAAACTCCAGCACTGTGTTTAAAATTACTTGGCCTGTTGAACAGTCCTAGTAATTATAGTCTCATCTTGCAGTGCCATATGTCTTTAGAGACATCTCTTGAAGAATTTTACCATGGCTACAGAGTGCGCCTTCAGCCCTGTGTGCCTCTGGAAACTGTGTTTTAAGGAAGCTGCTCGCTGGGATCCTGCCCATCACGCAACACTTATTTTGTTGGTTTGGAGAAGCGGCAGCACTTGAACCCCCAACTCTGAAGTGCCAGCCCTGTGGCAGACCTAAACCACGTTGCAGTTTCTCTTTAAAGCCTTGCTCCAAGAGACATTTTGCTTTCCTGTCCTGCATCCTCTGAGTGACACTGCTCTGGGGATGGGGGTCCTGCAAGCCGCAGCAGTAGGGTGCAGTTTTTGGTTGAGAGTCTAAATTATTGGTTTCTTGGATTACTGATGCTTTAGAAAGAGCTGACTCCTCTTGTCATCAGGATTGTCACTGAAATAGCCGTGCTCCTGTCTCACAGGGTGCTTTGCAGAAGAGACTGTGTGCATGTGTGGCTCTAATTACAACGAAGGCAAAAAGTTTCTGGATCTTCATCTCACTGGTGCACCTGTCAGATTTGGTTCAGGCTCCCCTCTTCCTTCTCACAGGCCTGACGGTGCCCGTAAACACCCATTTTGCACTGTCACTTGCAATCTGTATCAGACTACCCACTAGTCAGAAAACAGTGGAAATGTTTCTTTTTTTTTTTTCCCCCACTTTTTCAAACCCTACCTGCTCTGACCCCAGGGGCTGCAGGAAGACCTCACCCAGTAGCTCTGCCCACGGGTAGGGGTGATGCCTCCTGCGCTTGGCTGGTACTCGCTGTCAGATGTCTCTGGGGTAACTGTAGCTTCCATCAGTCAGTGCTAAAGGCATCAGTCAGCACTGGAACAGACTTCGTCCAGAGTAGAAAAAATGTCACCATTAACATCAGTGCCTAATGAATGAAGCAGTCTTCATCAGTGAGGGGCGAAAAAGTCTGATTTGGGTCTGTGGTGTTCATACCCAGGTCACTGCTGTGATTTCTGGTGCAGTTGGCAGTCTGGCGTTAATTAGCTTGTTTGCATGTAATTGTGTCTGTCCTGGATCTGTGTCGCACACAACATGGCTTTGCAATGGAAATGCCATTTTTCTGGTAAAGTTCTGAAAAACGTAGGGGTATATGAGCAGCCATTAACCTAGTGACCTTCATCCCCCCCTTTTTGCAGATCTTCCCCAGAGTAAATGATGGATCTTGGAGAAAACCTCTCTCTGAGGCAACAAAATGTCTCACAATTGGAGTTTCCCAACAAACTCTAAATTTGGCTTTTCTCAGTTAGTCAGCTTCTTGAATTTGCAGGTGAAATTAAATGTATTTTAGGGGAAAGAAAAAATAAATTACCTGAGTTTCCTTTAAGGAAAACGATAAAGATGCAACTGTGTGCTAGAGGGATTTATTTAAGCCATGTATAATGATATTGTCCATGGAGGAATGCTAAGTATCAAAAAGGTTTTATGGCTATTATTCGCAACTGATTACTTTATCCAGCAGTTTCGTGGTAGGGGTACGCTCCTGTTTAAGGAGGGACTCCCTTTCATGTGGAAGACAGGGTGTTATTACACATCTTGATGCTGTGGATTCTCTGCCTGCAAATACTTTTAGATATAGCAGTTGTCAGTACGTCACCCTTTGCAAACTTAAGTGATACAGAACATGGTGATTTCTGTCTCCTTGTTGATGCTGGATTTGTTGGGCATATTGCTGGAGTTTTTTATTGTTTCTTCTCTCGCTTTTTCTCTTTAAACTCTCTCTACAGCCCCACATGTTAAGGCTTTCCTGACCCAGCTCTGTAGGGACGCTGCATTTCTGTAGGGAAAGTAAGAGAGAAGCAGTATCAAAAGGATGAAATGAGCTTAACTAAAAATTTTGGAAGGAAGGACCTTCTCTCTCATTCTGGGTGCATGGGAGTGTTGATGGTCTGAGTGGGCACAGGAGAAAAGTAGAAATCCCAAATGAAGAATGTGATCAAACAGGCCATGTGTCTCCAGTGGGTCAGTAAGCAGAAGAAAGCATTTCTCTGCTTTTGTGTGTTATAATCACATACCCATAGTTGCTGTAGCAAGGAATGAGTAAAAAGCTGGTACTTCTCTGGCAGAAAGGATGCTATGGAGCCTGATGCAGATATCCCCTATTTCCCTTTGACTCCATTGTTGAGCTTTCCTATCTGTGTGGAGGGGGTTTTGTTTGTGATTTGTTTTATTCTTTGTTTTCCATCTGAAAGGGCTGGAAACTGTTTTGCTCTAGTTAGGGGCCATTGTGTTGCTGTTTATTATTCCTCGCTGCATTGTTGTAACAGCCTCCTGTGATTGAATTACTCCCAATACAATTAAACCGCTCACTTGCAGTCCCTTCCAGCTGGTAACCCCACTGTAATTTTACTCATATGTACCAGTCAAATTAGTGTATCCTGTATAACAGATAACTGCAGGAGTTACAGTAGTTTCATGTGTACCCATTTTGGCAGCTGATACGAGTTCCATAATAAAAAGAAGTAGCAATCAAGTGGGTGAAGTATTTCTGGGATGGAAGAAAACGTGATTTTTAATTGCTGTCCAAGCAATGAACAGGCTTATTTTCCTTTCTGAAGAATCACACCATTCCCATTGCCTGCTGAAAGCTTTTACTGGTCCATTTGGCTGCGCTCCCATAGTGGAAAGTGCCACTAACCTTCTATAAGGCCTCTTTGCTCCACAGGGAGGTGGCCCGCGTATTGAGTGGGAAAAAAGGAAGCAAAATTTGTCTGCTGTTTTTGAATCAGTCCATAGGGTGGGAGCAGTTTGCCAGTGCTCTTCTGGGAGATGTCTCTAAAGAGAACAACTAAATGTCTGGACAGTGCTCCAGCTGCAGCTGAAAGGTCCGGCAGCTGTGGTAACAACCCATGTCTGGAGAAAATCAGCATGGGCAGTTGATGGGCAATGCTCAGCCAGCCAGAGAGTATGCATGGCAAACAAATTAAAGTGAGACAAGGGATGTTGATAGGAGTCCAGAGTGTTATAAATTAACATTGCCCTTATCTTCTCAGTAACCTGCCCCAGGGGTGTAATGTAGTGTCTGTTGTTGGTTGCAAAACCAAAGGAGAGCTGCCTCCTTGACAGCTTTAAGTGGCTTTATTTTTGAGTGATTGGTGCACCTTGTGATTTTTGGCAGGAATAATTAGCCTTCATAAAGAGATTTTTGGGTTTATGTGGTCATATTTTCTTCTTTAATGCTTAAGAAATCTAGGTGTGCTAATTAGACATGGTTAAATCATCCCTATTGTTTTGAGTCTCAAAATTTCACCAGTTGGCTCAAGACTTTACGCTGTTTTAGAAAGAAAAATTTAATTTTGTATCAAGGGAATGGTTTTTATCCAACTGCATATTGAAATGTCATTTGTAAAACAGGCTTGGTGAGTTTTATTGACAAATATTTCAAAACATTATCCCAAAAAGTCAGCTTCAATCATGAGCAAATGAAATATTTGATAATATTAGTTCAGTACAGGTTTTTCACTGCCAGTTTCTCCAAAAACTTCCCCATCTCTTCCCTGTTCCCCTGTGGAACAAGAAACAAATGTATATTTCAGTGCAGCTGCAGGGCAGTCATTTTGACCTGAGTGAAAGAAAGCTAAGGAAGCATGGAGATCTGTTTAAAGAACAGGAGAAAAGAATGTTTGGGGGAATTGGAAATCTGAAAGCACCAACAGTCCTTCCACCTTTTAAAGGTGTGTTGAACATGAGGTGGCTTTCGTTATTTTGGTAAGATGCATGTTTTTTCTTCGTGTGGGGCGAAGGGTCTGTTGGCTGGAACAGGTCAACTGCTGCAAGCAGATCTCCCCTGCACCAGCACCCTGCCCTGCCGGTGTGTTTGGCCGTGCTGGGAAAGGCACCACTTGGGTACCAGGAGTTCCCTGAGTGTCAGACTTGATGCCTCCATGGAAACTCCCCCTTGTGTGGTTCTCCTTCTTTTTCCCTGTGGTGGGAGACATTTCAGGTGGTCTGTAACAGAAAAATAACTGCTTGACCAGGCTGAATAACAAAACCTCCTTTTTGCTCATCTCTAGATGAAAATTGGAGTGCTCCTGCAGACAGACAGGTTAAAGCTGTTCCTTTCCAAGGGTCCTTTCAAAGCTTAGAGAAATAATATTGATGTAATTACAAAAGTGGCCAGCAAAGATCAACCATTCAAATAGATGCAAAGACTTTAGCGTGCAGGACATGTTGTGGAGAGGAAGAAGGGCTACAGTGCTGACAAGTATTGTGTGTGCATATGTGTGTGGATTGCAGTTAGGAAAGCTGTGGTTTTCAGAGGCTTTCCTTTTAATGAAAAAAAAAAAAATTATCATTCACCTTTCTTGCTACTGAGCAACATGCTTCCATGACTTTTCTTTTATAAATAAGCTAGTTCCCTGTTTTGTTTTGCTATTTTTTTTTCCTAAGCCTGAGGCTTGGATCTATGTACTTGCATGCTTTTCTTTTTTCATTGGGTAAATAGCAGAGGGAAGGGTGAAAAAGCCTTATGTCTGAAAGTCAATCTCTTTCCCTAATAGAAGAGATTAACTCTCCCTACAAAGCTTTACTCATACCCTTAGATGATCACACCTACAACTACGCCACTGTTTTAAAGCTTGTGGTGGATGAAGAGCCGGGTGTATTAGCTAGAGAAAGAAAACAAGTTCCCTGGTCCCGTAATGCAGGTAACTCCATGTGATGCTGCTACATACAAACCTGCCAGATGTGTTCCTTTACTAGATCTTGTTTCTTGGTTGTTTAATAT